ACTTCATCCTTCCAGGTACTCAAGCCAATTCCCTGGTGTCCTTGACGCCTATTTCCCTCTCACCCCGGACCACCTCAGTTACAACGATCCCCTCCCGGGACTCTGGATCTTCTTTCCTGTTTGCATACCACACTACTCCTCCCACCAGCACATACCAACTTTTTTTTAAAATTTGTTATAGGGTGCATGCATTTGCTGGAGAGAGAGAGACAGAGACAGAGAGAAAGAGAGAAAGTGAGAAATCACCCCCAAGGGGGAATGGCCACACCACAATCTCTTCCTCATTCTCCTCTTGGGATTTTGGGCACGCGTGCACGTGACCAGTCTGTTTTTTAAGCTGTTGGGTCCAGGACTCACGCCCTGCAGTTGGCCACGTGGGATCCAGCCACCTACTCCACCATGCCAACTGGCGGGCCCACTGCACATCAACTTTTTTTTTTTTTCCTTTTTTTGGAGAGGTTTTTGATATACGGTACTTGAACAGACAGAGAGAGACAGAGAGACAGACAGCGAGAAATCAACCCCCCAGGGAGGATGGTCACCCTGCAATCCCTTTTCCTCCGTTCTCCTCTTGGAATCTTGGGCACGCATGCACATGCGCCCGGCGTGAGTTTAAGTCTCCGGGTCCGGGACTTGAACTGCGGTCGACTACATGGGAGTCCAGTGACATAGCCATTATGTTAACTGTTGGTCCCACACATCGACTTTTAACTCATTTTATTATTTACTTTTCTGTTTGTGGGCAGTGCCCCCACTACATTATGAGAATACAAGCTCCACAAGGGCAAGGAGTTCTAACTTCGGCTTACGAGGTGTCCCAGCAGCTGGACAGCACGAGGCAAACAACGGCACTCGCCACGCAGAGGGAGAGGGCGAAGAGGATGGGTGGGAGCAGCTGGGGGGTCATGAGGAAGTGCCATGTCTGGAAGTTAAAGGCAGCCAAGGAGTCTAGCCTCAGAGGGGGTGTGTGTCAGAGAGGGAAGGAGGCCTCAGGGATACTCCTTCTTATCCCTGGAAATAGGGATGAGGACATGTCCTGGCTTTTGTTTTTAGATCCCCGGCAGTTCCAGGTGCCAAGGCACATGCTGGGCACTGGGGAGGTGGAGATAACTGAGAAGTGGGCTGTTGCCCTCTAGTGCCCGTCTCTTCTTTTCTTTTTTAATTTTTTGCCATAGGGTATATGCATTCACCAGAGAAAGACAGAGACAGAGAGAGGGGAAAAGTGAGAAAGCAACCCCCATGGGGATGGCCACACTTCAATCCCTTCTCCACCATTCTTCTGGAATTTGGGGCATGTACGTACACACACCTGGTATGATTTTCAAGCCACTGGTCCAGGACTCAAACTGTGGTCAGCCATGTGGGAGTCCAGCACCATAACCACTATGCCACCTGCTGTCTCCCTCACCCCCCATCTTGATGCCATGATCCAGTGCGAGCTTCAGCCAGCCCCAATTATAGGCACACGTGTCTCTGGACTTTAACCATGAACCTTCCCACGTGGGTCAGCCTCCCAGAGGGTCACATTTCATCTCTGCTCCACAGTCCCCTTCCAGCCCCCCTCCTCCTTGTGGGCATTGATGCCTACAATCCCAACTTCACATAGTCTAGCAGCCTGGGAGGGCTGTCCGCCTCTAGGGGTCACCTGTCCCTGGCATCTGTGTAGGGATAGCCTTTCTGTGGGTGTGCGCCACAGGGTGAGAAAGGACACACCTAGGAGCTGGAAGGGCCAATCCCAGGGAAAGCATGTACCCAGGGGCAGGGCACTAACGCTGCCGCCTCAGGAACAAAAAACATCAGGCAAGTGTGACCTTAGGCAAGTCACTTCCCCTTTCTGGATCACTGCCTGCCTCTCACTGATTTCTGTCGGCATCAAAATAACAGCTACGTGTTTTGAGCATTCACTACGCACCAGTTCTGTAATCAACTGCTAATGTATAGCCCTGCTAATTAAACCAACAGTCCTACAAAGGTGGTGATTAATTTGCTCTGCTTTACAGAAGACAAATTGAGGCTCAGAGACTTTGGAAACTTGCCCAAAGCCTTCGGTGAGTAGGGATGCAGCTGAGGTGCAGGGAGTTAATGGGCTGGGGCAAGATGTACAGGCAGGTAGTGCTGGTGGGGTACCTACCTTCATGGTGGCTGCTGCTGGTTGGCTGCTCCTGCCGGTGACTGGCGTCTCCCGGGAGGCCTGGGGCCTTTTTGCGGTGTTTGCCAGGAGCTGGGGGCTGGTCCCCTGCGGGGTTGGGGCCCAGGCCCCTATCTGCAGAGCTGGAGTCTTCCTGCTCACTTGGCTCAAACTCTGGGATCTGGAACATGCTCTGGGCTGTGGGGACAAGATGTTTGAGTATTAAGGGCACAGCCGAGGCAAACGGTGGCCGTCGAGGGCAGGGGACAGGTGCTCCTGGACTCCTCTCATACTCTAGCGCCCCCAGGCCCACCTGGCCTCCCAGGCCCTCATCTGTTCCCTGAGTTCAGCCCCACCGGGAGCTTAGGTCTGTACACCCAGGATCTAAGTCTCCCCTCAAGCCCTGGTGATATAAGGCAGCCCCAGGCCCCTACCCAGACCCTGGCCCGCCCGCCTGCCCCAACCTGCCCGTGGTGACGGCACACAGATCTCACCCCAAGCCCGATCTCGAGGCCCCTGACCCGGGCCCGCCGCCTCCTTCCAGTACTGAAGGCGCCCAACCCTAGTTGCCTGGGCGATGGGAACTGTCACCAATCCGGTCCAATCAGCTCTCGAAATGTCACCGGGTTGGTCCGGGGGCGGGGCCACCTCAGGTCCGGACCCGCCCGCGCTGTGCCACAGGCTCTTCGCCCTCCGCCTTCCTCCTCCCCGCCTCCCTGGTCTTCAGATTCTCAGCTCCCTACTTCCTTACCCCTTGGGCGCGAGCGGGAGCAGGTGAGGGGTGCTCGGGGTCCCCATTTGGATCCTGGAATCCTAGAGGCCCGCTTCTGCTGACAAGTCCTTCAGCTCTGGGCCTTAGTTCCCCCCGCCCCGCCCCCGCCCCGTAAAACAGGTACAATGACACCTCCTTCGGAAGCCAGTGAAAACTTTGTACGGGGAATGGTGACTGTTGTGGGTGAAAGCACTTTGCAAAGCCGTAACTGAAGCTCAGCCATCGGATGCGATTACTATTGTCACTGTTGTTACTGCTCCGCGTGGACTGGGTGACCTGGTCGGGAGTTCCCCCCGCCCCGCCCCCGCCCCGTAAAACAGGTACAATGACACCTCCTTCGGAAGCCAGTGAAAACTTTGTACGGGGAATGGTGACTGTTGTGGGTGAAAGCACTTTGCAAAGCCGTAACTGAAGCTCAGCCATCGGATGCGATTACTATTGTCACTGTTGTTACTGCTCCGCGTGGACTGGGTGACCTGGTCGGGTACCTGCTCCCTCCTTATCCTGCCTGGCGCTGCTCGCATCAGAGACACCTCCCCTCGCCGTCTCGGGGACAGTCGAGATAAGAGAGAGCGCCTCCACCCCGGCGGGATGACTGCCCCGGCGCGGAAAAGACAGGGCCCTCGGCGCGGGTGAACCCTAGGACTCGTGGGTGCCTCGCGCCTGGCAGGCAGCGCGGGCCGGCGGCCAGGTGAGCGGGAACAGGGGTGTGCCAGGGCGTGGGGCTGGCAGGCAGGCTTGCGTGGGGACCTTGGGCCCGGAGGTAAGGCCCAGGGGGCGGTGCCCAGAGGCCATCTTGGCTATGGGCGGAAGTTTCCTTCACAGACCCCGCGAGGGGAAGTCGTTGCCGCCCCCGGCCGGGCGGTGCGATCCCAATTTGGGGCTGGGGGAGAGAAGCGTGGAAACTGACGGCTTTCCAAGCAAGCAAGGGCGGGCGGTCCAGGGCACTGCCGGCCCGG